CTTGCGACAGAAGAATCGACGGTGGTTGCCATGGATTCCATCGTCTATACATCGTCGGTGGACGACCTGGCAATGAGAGCGGTGGTCGAAGCATTGAAGGCTGATTCAACGGATGTGCTGGGCGGAGGTGACGACGATGGGCTGGCAGCTGGTTCGTCGGGCTCCTGCTGGCGATGAAGTGATTGGCGGGTAGAGAATGGACTAGGTACAAAAAATTTTGACGCCATGGTCTTTCCGACGAGGGAGATGAGAGGATTGCTTTAAAATGAGGAGAATTTAAAAAGAATAGTAGCCCATGGTTTAGAATAGTGGCCACAATCCTTCCCACTGGGACAAAATGCAGAAACAAAGAAAACTAAATAAGCCAGAAAATTATTTACATTTATTTACACAAATAAACGATTCAAAATTAATGATAAAAATGGTGGGATTAGACACTTTATTAGAGATAAAGTGTTTAATCCAGTGGTCATTTACTCTAAGAACACTCCCATCTTGTGGGCTAAACAAATCCACCGTTCCAAATTGCCCAACATCGACAATTGTGAATAGTCGAGATTTCAATTTTCTAGGAAAAAAAATCAATCGAGAATTAAAGAGAACTAGCTGATTTTTTTCAAAACTTCTTTGATTTATCTTATGATCATGCCACATATTTGTTTTCTCCTTATAAATTTTAGCATTTTCGTAAGCATGAAATCTAGTTCCTCTAACTCATTCAATTGAAGTTTCCTTTTTCTTCCCGCGGCATCTTCTCTTAAATTCAATTCTTTAATGGCCCAAAACACTTTGTATTCAAGTTCTAAAGGTAAATGACATACCTTTTCCAAAAACCAACATATAAGGTGACATACCCAAAAGAGTTTTGAAAGCGGTTCTATAAGCCCAAAGCGCATCATCCAACTTAAGTGACTAGTATTTTCTATCGGGTTTCACAACTTTTTCTAAAATAGATTTTATTTCCCGATTTGAAAGTTCGGCAAAACCACTTGTTTGAGGATAGTATGTCGTGGATACTCTATGTTGGATATGATATTTTCTAAGCATAGTAATTAACATTATATTCACAAGATGTGTCCCTTCATCACTTATCAAAGCTCGAGAGTACCAAAACAAACAAAAATATTTTTGTAGAAAAAATCAATTAATGCTTTAGCGTCAATTTTTGGACAGGCTTTAGGCTTCTACCATTTAGACACATAATCTACTACCACCAAAATAAATTGGTTATTGAAGGACATAGGGAATGGTCCCAAGAAGTCGATGCCCCAAACATCAAAAAGTTCAACTTCCGAAATGTTATTTAGAGGCATCTCATTGCGTTTAGATAAATTCTCTGTCCTTTGACATTGATCACAACCTTTAACAAACTCAAAAGCATCTTTAAAAAGTGTTGCCTAAAAGAATCCTCTTTGGAAAACTTTAGCGGTCGTACGTTGACCACCAAAAATGGCCACTGTATGGTGAAGCATGGCAATCTCTGCACATCTTTTTCATCTCGAAATTTGGGACACATTTTCTAAAAACTTGATCCACTCCCATTTTATACAAAAATGGGTCATCCCAATAATATTGTTTGTAATCATGAAGAAATTTTTTGAAACATTGCCCTTTCAATTGGTATGGTCTTACCCCACATGCAAGAAAATTGGCAATGTTGACATACCAAGGAAGGGTTTCTTTAGAGGAAGAAGGGTGATCTATAGGAATGAACTTGACCATCTGTTTTGACAAAGGTCATTCTTCTAGATAATCGTCCTTTAGGATGATAGGTTTGTGCGAGTTCATAATGAAAAACAGAGTCTTCTGTCCATCATTATGAAGGTTATGTATGTCCATTGCCTCATGGATGAAATGAGGCAAGAACCTTGGAAACATTATAGAGGCCATGGGTTTCTTCTTGACCATAAGTTGATTCTTCTGGTTAACAACGGCCAGAATCTCGTTGTATCTCAATAGAGCATAGTCAAGGTTTACGTACATACCATACATGGTGGTAACATGTTTAAATTCCCTTGATCCATGCTTCCTAACTTGCAGGTAAGGATTTTGTTAAGAACCTGGAAGAGAAAACTCCATGTTGGGGGTAGAAATTGTCTTTTGAATATAGAAACTTGTCTTATATCCTTGTTGTAGCCAATGAACTTGAGAAATCTAACAATTACGTCAAATGTAGGATGGTCTGCCCAGCATTCAATTTGCTGTTCTTGTCTAGTGGGGTTAAATAGTATTTTTGAGACCTTGGATCGAGAAATATTTATGGTACATTCCATGTTATTTGGAGCTACGATAGCACCCATTATTGATTTGACATCAGCATCAAATTTGCATGTAAACTAGTACTGTTGAACATATCATTTAGGATCATTGTCAGTTAGGGTTAGGGCAAGACGTAGTGGATGACATTGCAGATATTGGATTATCATGTGATAGTCTTTGTCATAGTTCTTAAATCGTACATCAACCTTGTGGTTATTAGGTTTGATGGGTAGAAATACGATGGTGTTGATATCTGCTTCAGTGCAACGAATAGTGCTAGTATCGTTGTTATGAGAGTTTTCGGAGTGAACTAGTGAAGATGATTGTTATAGGGGCTTAATCATTTAAGAACCCATTAAATTGTGATAACCTTGAGAACTTGTATGTCATGTGTTATGGCATATAATCTTTTTTCCTATTTAGGCATAGTATTTAATATATTGATTAACATATGTTTGTTTGACATGTATTTGGTTCATAATTTGACACTTTTTTATGTGTATTTTATGTTTCACAAACACTCCAAAAAGTTTCACATTTTGACCGAATATGTATGAAGTAAACACATTGTAAAACAAATATATGTTAGTCAATATTCCAAATTTTAGTTTTAGATGGAAAAAAATCATATCAAATTAAATAACACATGATGCACAAATTCTCAAGGTTATCACAATCTCATGCGTTCTCAAAAGAAGGTTTCTCTCTCTCTCTCTCTCTCTCTCTCTATATATATATATATATATATATATATATATAAAGAAAGGTTCAAACAAGAACCTCTGTGATTTACGAGAACGCAAAAACAGTCTCTAAACAAGAACCCTTGTGATTTACGAGAACGCAAAGACAGTCTCTAAGGCAAACATTATGTTTTGAATCACAATTTAAGAGAAGTTATGGGCTTTTCTAATTCTCCCTCTTGCATTGGTTCAGTTTTTCCTAAACGATGATACCGTCAGGCTTGAAACTTCAATCTTTTAGCGAATGATCGATGCGGCGGTTAGGCATCCTTAGACTTTTAAATTAACATTCTAAAGTTTTTAAAATATTAAAGATGTTAAAGGGTAAAAATGGAAAAAGAAGATGCAAATCATATAACACGAACAACCAGTGTCGATGATCGTGAGGGTGATAAGCTTAATCATTCGACATCATGATCACATGATCGATAAAGAAGAGTAGTAGGAAAAATCTATATCAGTATCACATGAGTCGATAAACAAGATTATTAGGGTTAGACTCGTACATACAAAGTATCGACATTGGAGGCAGGGAGAAAGAATATGCACCGTCGGCTGAGAAGAGTATGACATAGTTATCACATTTGTTAGATAAAATTATTAGGACAAAATTGAAGTATCACATCTTTATCACACAGCTTCTTATCAATGGTTGTATTCAGTAACTGTTTTAGTGTGATATCACGTATTTATCACACTTATTAGATAGAAGTATTAGGCCAAAAATCGAATGTGAGAACATATTAAATTGTTGATATGGTTGTGGTATCACACAGAAATATTATGGCAAAATCGAGGTAACACATCTTTATCACATTACCTCTGTTTTGAATCACTTGTTGTATTGAATTACTGATTTGGTGTGATATCACGTATTTATCACACATATCACAGTTAACACATTGAGTAGGGGAAGTTGATTGGCTATCACATTGCTTCATAGTTGACATATCGATTAGTAGAAGATGATTGGGTACCACATTGCTATCACACTGTTTTATAACACCATTCTTATCACAATTGTCACCACAATCGTCACATTTGGATTACAATATTGAATGTATATTACATTGTTATTAGAGTTGATGAATCAATTAACAGAAGTTGATTGAATATCACATGTTTATCACAATTAACGTTTCGAATCGACATGCAGAAACTAATTGATAATCACATTGCTATCACACTTAACACTTTGAGTAGAGTAAAATGAATGGGTATCACATTGCTATCACAATTAACATTTCAAATCAAGCAAGATGATCAAATATGTTAGATTAAACGATCAAAGATGTGATCAAATTTTGATCGAAAATCATGGAATAATTATAATTAATCAAAACAATATCAAAATGATAGAAAATACCGCCCTTAATGATTTACTTTTATTTGTTATAATTTAAATTATTGATTAAAAAGTTTGAAGCCCACAATTGTTGTCACGTTTTCATAAACAAAAAGGTTCTTGTTTGAACTCCCGCCTAAAAATATGAAATTCTATTGTTTTAGATTTTTTATATTGTTTCTAATGATTTATTTTATTTATTATTAACTATTATTTTATTATATAGAAATATAGTCTGAAATATGAACACTATATACACACACAAAGAGGAGGTTTATTTTACAAACCACGTTATTTGTACAAATCATACAAATCCTATTCAACCAATCATAATTTTTTATCTTGTTCATTTTTTTGTAATTATAAGAGGTTTATTAATTATTTTTATTGTAAAGAGTGTTAATCATGAATATTATCATTTTCATTATATTAATTTTAGAGAAATACATAAAACAGTTTCATTAAAATTTCATAAGTATTATATGAAACAATTTTATAACCATATATGAAACAACTTCATCAAAAAAAAGTATTATATAAAACAATTTCATAAGATTATCGATAGATGAGGGTGGTTTGCACAGTTTTTACAGATATGGGTGATTCCCCTAAACTCGCATGCCCTTGTCTATTTCCTATACCCGTACTAAATGAATTCAAAATATCTTTCAAATGAGAGAGTTCCTAACACTTAATAAAGACCTACATATAAAAGCCACAGTACTACTACTAGCAGACCCGTCCAAGGAGTCCATAAATATCCTCTGTATCAACCAAAAGTGTGAGTTAGATCTAATTCTTTTGATTGGTTGACCACCTTCTCAAACATGTGCTAGAGCCTGTCATGTAGCACCATTTCTTCCAAGATCTTGTCATGTTAACACAAAAGCCACAATCAAAAACCTGATGTATGAAGTCTGTTGAAGACAACTTTTGGTTAGATCCATCTCAGAAGATATAAACAAGAGACCATCTTTAAAACCAATTTGTCCTCCAAAATGCTTTTGAAGATCCGTTCCAACAGGAACCAAAACCAACCAGGGCCACACCAATAAGGACTATAAATAGCAGCCAAGTAAGAAACAATCAGCATCAAAACCTAATTATAACCGGTAGATGTAAGTGATTCCCTTTTATTATGTTTATGCTACATGTTTACTGAAATGGTGATCTACGATCATAGAGATGATTTTATCACTCTGGTCTCTTACATCAGGATTTAGGCCATTATGAGAGTTGCTTTTCAATATGTATATATTGTGGAGTTGGAGCTACAAAATTGCCACTTTTTATATTGCAGTGACTTGTCTCACAACAATTTTAAGCATATATCTTCACTACAGAGTTGTTACTCATCTAACTTGTAACTTCTTTGTAAAATCCTATCCTTTACCGTATTAGAATATATATGTACTTTTATATGTTTGCTTATTACCAGTACCTTTACCATATCATCTTCAGCCACAAGCAACATGTATGTCCCATCATCAACCTATACACACACTTTTGATATGTTTATAATGATGTGATCTAACGTGAATAAATCTTATAGAGATGCTTGGTGTTTGACAGACAAACTTACTTGCAGCAGAAACCCGACCGTAAGAATAACAAACTAACCACTTACTATTTTCACATATTATCATAAAATCTGATAATTTTCCCAGTTGGATGCACCCCAGCAGACCATATTCAGAGATCAAATGTAGCAGATGCTTCTGTTTGAAAACAAGTTCCCTGATGTAATCATAAGATACTTGTATCTGTAGGAAGTATTGGTGTCATTCAAGGATCATAAATTGCTTCCTGCACCCATTTAGACAACAAATGATTCGTTTGTCCTATAATTCTTCGTAGGAAACAAAACAGTCATCACCTGTAAACAGACCAAACAGTACAAGAACCTCAAAAATTGTCTCAACAGGCAAACTGTGGTGGTCGATCCATATATACCTCCTCAAGAAAGCCATTGAGAAGGACATTCTTGTTACCTAACAGAAGGAGAAGCCAGTAATGAGTGCCACTGCAATAAACGTATTTGTGATTCCTCCAAAACCCCCCTCACACTATTTGGTAAGAGGAAAAAAGATGAGAAACAAAGACATGCCATAGAAAACTTACTTACTTAGCATTGCTACAGAAGTCGAATACACCTGCAAATAAAACTTCCTTTAATAAACCAACATCTATCTTATCTATCTATACAAAAATGCAATTAGAACGTAATACCAACGAGAGTTTCTTCAACTTAGGCTTCAAATTCTCATGACCAAATGCCATCACAAATCTTCAACTACACTATCCTATTCATATACTTCTCTCTATTGTAAACATTTGTTAACTTTTTGGTTTTCCTTTTTTCTTGGTTTCTAGATTTGATAGATTTTGATGTATGCAACTTTCATTCGTTAAATTTGCTAGCATCAACAATAAATAAATATAAATATTTGACATTGCATGTTTGTATCGAGTACATAGGATTATAGCTTCACCTTTGGCCCACCCTGGACCTTGTAGGTGCTGTAAAATGCCTAGTTAAGAACAACCTTCAATTTGACTTAACTAGACAGTGATCAAATCAATCTTAGACATTGATTGAAGTAAGCAGCTATTTTGGTGCAACTCATCAATTCAATACAGAAGGATGATAGTTAACAAGAAATTAACAAGTGCTGTCTCTTTCTTCCATCTAATTAATTACAGTCAAAGTTGGGCAAAAAATAGTCAGATAAGTGCAAACATGATCTTTCCTATGATATGTTTTAACTTCTTTTTAACAAGAAAGGAAATCATACACGTGGCAACAAAGTAGCTGATCACTTCTTTGGCAAGGAATAAGGTACAACCTAAAATCACGGGGAACACTGATATTATGAACAAATAGCAAACAGCAACTTTGGCCTTACCTTCACAATTTTGTCAGCATACTTCATCACCATAGACACATCGATACCACTGCAAATCCAGAACAAATAGCAAGTATGAATCGCGCAACAGCAAATGCCAAATCTTGAACCGGCCTCTTGTGGAATGTTATTAGCATAATAATATTATTTATTAGTATTATTAATACATCAAAAATCAAACAGAATTTACAGTACGAATGTTGGTGTAATTTGTTGATTTTTCTCAATTCCAATCGAATGCAACAGGCAGATTAAACCTAGATATCCTCACCTTATGAAATGCATTCAACCTAACAACCAACACACATAAAATGTCTAACCAAATGGAGAATCAGACAAGGAAGAAGCAGGTTACGCCAAAAACAAAAACAGAACCAGATTAGGGCAGAATACATACCTGATATATGAATATAAATTAAACCAAACTGAGAGAAATCGAGAGTGATGTAGAGATGATGGCGACACGAGGACGGGACAACGACGGAGAAATCGACGAAGGCGACAGCAAAATCGGAAAAGAAATCATCAGGGCCGGCAACAACAGAGAGAGAGAGAGAGAGATCGAGACTTCGAGAGGCCAGAGCGATGGGTTTAAAAAATATATTTTTCTAAAATTAATAAATAATTAAAACAAAGGTTTTTGAAACTCACCGGCTCCACCTTCAAAACCACTGTCGTCCACTAACCATCATTGCTCTACCTTTTAACCATCATCGGCTACCGATCACCACCGTCTATCACCACTCTTACCATCGGCCACCACCACTATCACCATAAACAAAACCACCTCTGCCTATACTACTACTACCATCAACTATATCAAATTTTTCATTCAAATTTGGTACTATTATATATGCATGTATTTATAAATTATAATCTATAGAAGAGGAAGATATATCAATCTATGAATTTTTGTTGCAAAAAGTTCAACTTTATTTCGTTAAATTAGCAACTAAGTCATCTTTTTGTTTGCCCAAGATGTTACAGTGCAATCCTACAAAGATAGCATCCTCTTCTGCAGTAGCAACTTTCCATTCTAGGTACAGAATTTTGCTTCAGGCTTCAATGAAGCTATGATTGTAAATCTGGTTAAATCTTGGATAAAGACTCACGGAATGGGATCTTTTTGCTTATTAGCAACCATTACAAGATGTGTTGAGAGTAATTGTGATGTTAAACACACTTTCTCAATTTTGTTCTATCAAGGGGTATTTGATTACTAATTATTATTTTAATCGACAAGAGAGTTATAATAACACCGTTTCATTATCTGCTAGTATGACTACTTCTAACTGCTTTTAAAGATATATCGGGAAGAATAGATACATATATGTGAATCTTTAAATTGAGGATCTTTGTGCATTTCTTGTCAAATGATTATATCACCCAATTACAGGAAATATTTGGAGTGTCAAATATTTCCATAAATTAAAAAAAAAAACCCCTGAAAAACAGGGAAATGAAATCTCAATGGATTAGCAAAGCGAAGGATCAGTAAATAGTTTTTAACAAAAGTAAGGAGCATTTTTGTTGTACCTTGATTTTTTATTTTTTAATTTCATATTGTACGGTATAATACCTATAAACCAAACAAATCTAGCCCCTTATTATCCCCATGTGGAGGTTGGCTTGGAATTGAAGAGGTACATGATTCAAACGAGTTACCCTAGGATGACGAAATTGAGGGTGGTGATGGATCAGATGGCGGAGGAATATGGTCATCATCAAAAGAAAGGATGACCATATTCCCATATGTAAGGAGCAAGAATTCGAAGATATATTGGCAAGTTGTAAAAGAAGGCAACAAATAATGTCAAAAACCAAGAAAGAGAAACTAAAAAAACATTATTCATTTCATTTGTAGGTTTTTAAGGAGGTGTTTGGATGTGTTTAGGAAGTGACTATGTGAAGTTGAATAATCAAAATTAGATAATCAATTGTAATAAAACATAGTGCATGAATAGGTGTTTTGACGCGTTTCTACAACTTGAAGTTGTAATAATCACTTTTAGTGGTATTGAAGTTCTTGATCACATATTAAGCACTCATTTCTTTACTTTTAGGTAGTTTATTTTCTTTTATTTCAACCTTGAGTCTTTTTTATTACATTATTTTTTATTTGTTTATACTTGGAGCTAAATTGAGTGATTAACTTGTCTTTACACCATTTGAGTATAAGTGATCTTAACTTGGAAACACTATGTTCTATGTTGCAGCATTCCAGCAGCATTGATCTGTTAAGAAGCGACCTTTTGGGAAGTGCTTAATGATTCAGCTATCGATTTAGAATGAAGACAATTTTTTGTTAATCTGTTGGTTAAAGACCACTATAGTTGGAGAAGGGGTTTTTGGAGGTTGCTTTTGTTCATGATGTGATATCCCCATTTTCTCTTTTCACCTTTTGTTTCCCTTCTTGAAACCATGGCTTTTCCAAGGCTTTTGTCTTCTTCATTGGCTCTTTTGTATAAATAGGACTCCATGGTAGCTCATAAATCCATCCCAAAAATCACTAAAGAATCAGATATGAAGTTCTTATGTTTGTGCAAGTTAGTTTTTAATTTTCTTTAAATAGTGTTCTTCATTTTGAGTTGCTGCAGCATTATTCTTACTTTATTTACTTTTCTTGTCATTTAATTTTCGCTCTTTATATTCAGTCATTTATATATATGTCTTTACTTTCTGTTCTTTATATTTCTTGTCATTTAATTTCTGTGATGAGTAGCTAATTTCATTAGTTTGGGTGTAAGACAAAGTGTGAAATGTTAAACCGAAGAAAAGTGGACGTTGTTTCGCAATAACAACGTTCCGCTATTTCATTTAAGTTTTTTATAAAAACCAAGTACACTTCTTGACGAGTTGATCACTTTGAAAGTGCTAAAGTGTCATGGTCTTGGAGATAAGCAATTGAATGCACGTCAACTTGAATGATATGAGAGGTAAACTTGAGAAAGTTACCGACAAGGAGACTTGCCATTTATGTCTTTCAAAATTAACTCTCGACAGGTTGGTCACTCTTTAAAAGTGTCAAAGTGCGATAGATTCAGAGATGAACTATCTAGAACACACACCAACTTGAATGATATGGGAATCGGCTCGAGAGAGTGATTTTTAACAAATAGATTTGTTTATTTATATATTTTGAAGACACCATTTTATCACTATCTATGGTCCTGATACCACATAGAAATATGGGTTGAAAGCTATAATATAGTGCGATGGTGGAAGTCTGAGAGGAATACCTTCAAAATAGATGGTAGAACTAGTTTTGGCTTATTGTATGTTGTAGCACTCCTACAACATTGTGTGTTGGAAGTTGTGTTTACATTTCACACAAGTCTTACACCTATGCTAACCTTTTATATTTTGTTATTTCATTATTGTTAACTTAGATCCAACTGAAGTCTTCAATTTTATCATCTGAAATCATTTCTTTCATTGGACCCTTATTAAGCCTTTACTACAATCTCCATGGACGGTATCCGGTTTTTACCACTTTATTACTTGGAAAAGACGACATTAGATCATATTGTATACTTGCTTTGTGGTTCCTTTTTATAAGTCTAAGGGTGTGAAAAATAACCTACCAGCTAGAGACACGAATACCATACTATTTAGAACGCATATACCATCAAGGATCAATATGATCAAACAATGTCAAGACTCTACACAGGCCGAATACGACCGAGTCATAGACCCATGAATCCATTCCATCACAACTTCAACTTACATGGCTCCAATTTGAATGATCAACACACCCAAAATATGTAATCTCAAATAAATATGTAGTAAATGCAAAATATGTTCAAATGTCACATTGAACAATTTTTGTGGAACAAAGTCCCAAAATACATTTAAAATCAATTTCAAACCAACAAAACATCAATAGAAATATATTTACTTCATATTTATGCAACTTCATTTATCAGAATGGGAATATATCCTAAAACTCCTATTTATTTGAATCAACCTTCAAAATATCACATTTTAATGATTTCTATCTCCAAATGTCTCAAAACCCAAAATATACATATTTTCTAGGTTTTGTGAAATCAAATCTACCAAGGATGCATACATACCAAATAAGCACCTACATTTGATAAAATCACAAGGAACACATTTGAAAGCTCAAAATACACATTTTTTTTATGTATACATGGTTTTCACAAAATACTTGAAACTCACATTCCTAGGTTAAGTTAAACCTAGTTTCCAAACTCCCTTGCTTCTAAACATAAAGGCTTGATTTCCACAAACAAAGATCTTCCAAGAAATTCCTCAAAACCATAAATCAAGCCTTGGAATACACCAAAAATGAACACAAACTTCAGATCTAACAAGGTCCCTAAACTAGAACTCAAAATCACCAAAGGGTTTACCTTTTCAAGGATTTGAAACCTTCCAACCAAAAACTTTGTGATGGAGCTCTTTCAAGCCTCCAAACTAAAGCTTCTAATCCACACGCTTCTTTTCCTCTCAAAAGCTCCCAAAGATTTAAAGGATTGCCCCAAAGTGAAATAAATTGGGAGAGAAATGGAGAGGATGGAACCTAAATGACAAAACCCTAAATAAATAGGGTTTTAATCTGACTGCATGTCATTGCAACCTTATATATATGCCCAGGACGCATATACGGTATCCTATGCCCAAAATCTCACTCATAACTTCATATATGTAACCTCAGTTGTGACCTGGTTGCCTAAATCTTTATCTCAAGTTTCACCTATGTTTTGACACTCGAGTGAGTCAGACGACTTCGATCGTGACCCAAGTCATGTGCCAAGTCGTTGGGACCCTTTTGATTCCCGAAAGTCCTTGTTTTCCCTATCCTTTTGACCCTGAAACAACCCAAGGCAATTAAATACGGTTAAACCCAATAACTTAATATTAATACATCAAATGTAATTTGTTTAACCCATAATTGTATCTAATGAAAATGTAATCCTCCCAATTTTATAAAAGATTTTGTCCTCGAAATCTACACCAATTAATCAGTAATGGATCGTGCTCTCTGGAATTTCTCTCGGTTTCGAAACCACTTGGTCTTCCAACATGATAAACAGACCTCATCAACTGAATCTCAAAGCTAGTAACCCATTTCTCCTAGTCATGATATCATTGTATTAGGAAATAAATTGGAAAGGTTAAGAAAGCTTTTAAACTCAAAATAAGCCTAACCGACAACTCAACATACCATTCATCCCTGAATATTGAACTTTCCAAAGATACAGACATCAAAGTCTTACAATTTCTCACACCAGACGACTCCATTCCAAGAGAACACATGCAATAGGATACGGCTTCCACTTGGAATTTAATTACCTTTCCATTACATTTGCCAACTCGAACATCCCCACGATCATTACAAGTTTCAACCTCAAACTTCAATATGCTTCTACTCTCTTGAGGGAGCATAAAGCTTATGCTTATTAATAAAATGTCTAAAACAAAATTTTAGTTGTCTTCCTACCTTGAGTAGCCCTATACTAACTCAAAGATAGCTTCATTCTAGACTCGTTACTTCCACATGAAACATTGTTTAACCTCGAATTCCTACCTTAGGTTTCCT